TTTCTCCTTGAGCGGTTTATCCCACTGCCAGCACTCTTCTCTATTCAGAGCCTTCTGCACCCCCACGAGGAGCAGGGGACCGCTGTTTGGGGCTTCCATTTTAAATCTAGGTCCTCTGTCTAGGGGCCTTATCTCCTCTCCTGTGCCTGCCAAGAGTGCGTTGGGTCACGTTGCAGCACGGGTTGGTAGCGCTCAGTCCAGTCCCGGACTTGTGTTTTCCGTGAGCTATCCCCTGCACCCGGCTCTGGGAGCAGGGATCGAGTCTGTATTCTGGTAGTGAGGGGAGGTTGTTGGCGGCCATTAAATCTAGGTCCTCTGTCTAGGGGCCTTATCTCCTCTCCTGTGCCTGCCAAGAGTGCGTTGGGTCACGTTGCAGCACGGGTTGGTAGCGCTCAGTCCAGTCCCGGACTTGTGTTTTCCGTGAGCTATCCCCTGCACCCGGCTCTGGGAGCAGGGATCGAGTCTGTATTCTGGTAGTGAGGGGAGGTTGTTGGCGGCCACTTGCCTCCAAGTTTGGGGAGAGTAAGAGCGGGAGCTTATCCTCCTTCCCAGCTGCCGGACACCCCGGCCACGGGAACTCGGATGCTGCTTTGGAAAAAAGCAAAATGGCCAAGAAAGCCCTTTCCTTGGGCGGCTGCTCCTCAAAGAAACCTGGAGTGAGTAGCTCGGGCTCCTGCCCCCTCCAGAGAAGCTCAGCACTCTCTATAGGGTGGTGCGGGGAGCTTGGGAAGGCTCAGAGAGCTGCGCTGCAGTAGCAGGACGTGTGCGGAAGCCACCAGCAGACCAGTGGCCCCCGCCCCAGTCACAACTCATCTTGGTCTTTCTCCCTTCCCATCTCCTGACCGGGATCTCATTTCGACCTCATCTGGAACAGGCCGTCCCCTAGCCCCGCGTATCTCCTTCCGCAGGCGTCATGGTTCCGGGAGTGCGCCCATGCTGTCAAGAGCACCAGCCCAGGGAAATTCGAATGGTTCCAGCTAAACGAAAAAGGGGAGCGATTTTGATACTCGCTCCCACAACAACTTTGGTCATGAGAGTGGATTTCTGCCCGCTACTAAATTATGGCTTTTGTTGAGAAGGCTCCCAGAAAATTTCGGCAAACACCTTGAAACTTGGCCTAGACTAGCCTTTTTGCCACAGTTGGGGTCTGGGGGTTGCATTGTCCCGGAGCGCCACCGTCTGGACACAGCCGCCTTCCTGCCCCACCCGGAGAGGGGCAGACACAGTAGGTGGAGGCTGAGGGGCGGGTTCTGCAAAGGACTTTAACATTCAGGGACCTTTAATGAAAAGACAGACACAGCAGAAAACAAGATTGCATGCAGTTTCTCTCGCTGAGAAGCCCCAGTAGGAATGTGTCTCCCCTTTGTTTGAAGATGAGCTCCCCCATCCCATCCCCGCACCCCCTGTACTTGTTACTGAGAAGGGAATCAGCACGAATAACAATCTCCCACCTGGAGCCTTTTCACATTCATTATCTCACTGCTCCTTGCTGGCTGGAAGCAGGGCTGCTTGCTCTCAGGGCTGGACTTAGCCAGGATTTATCCAAAAACAGCTCAAGAACCAGCTCTGCTATCCTCCCTAGGCAATCGTGAGTCCTGAAAAGGGACAGCAGCCGAAAGCCCAGCCGCGCCAGTGGAATAGTTTGTCCATATCAGACTGTTCATGCTGGTTCCCTGAGGGTTTGGATCCTTTTACCTGGGGCAAGAAGAGGTTTTTAATTCAAATACAAATTTGAAGGAAAAATGGTAACAAGCATTCAAGTGACTTAAGACACTGGAGTCTCTTTTTTTCCTCTCTCTACCTCCCCCAAAAAATCCTGTAGAGAGCTGATACACTTATTTCAGGCACTGTTATATGCCAATGCACTGTACTTTTGAGATGAGGTGTCCCCGTAGCTGGCGGAGGCCCAGGGCACTGGAAATTCTCTGTGGAGTGGCCTGGACTTTCCTGGGACTGAACAGTGAACAGAGTGAGTTGATCCCCTGGCCTTGAACCTGTTTTGACACTGCTTACATGACTCTATGTGACTTGGATTTTTTGGTACTAGACAAGTGGGAGAAGCAACTATTTTAATAATCTGGGGAAGGGGAGAAAATTCTTCGTCTGGTTAAATTAATTTTCTTATTTTTATGAACTATCTTAATAAACGTTCTGAATAATGTCCCAGTCCTAAGGAAAAAAAAAGATGGATATTGAGTCAGTTATGTGCATACATATAAGAGATAAAACCAGTCTGAGTTCAAAAGCGTAGGACGAGTCTGGTAATAAATTCAATCATTTTGGAACAATAAGGGGGAAGCGATTAGTTGGGTAGAATGCAGTGCAAATGGTTTATTTAGGCTTCCAAAGGATTTTTAATTGTCTTTCTAAAAGACCTGCTGGCAAGCCCTAGCAACTGGGGGTGGAGAGAAATATTTTATGTGGGATTTAAAAGCTATTAAGATATAGAATCAAAATAGAAGAGACCTAGGACATTTCCTGGGAATCCCAGGAAATCTTGGAAACCCATATGGAGATTGGAAAGGAAAATAAAGCAATGGATAGTGGATTGGGAATTATATGGAAAGTTTGCACTACTGGAGCCCAGCAGGACCCTAACATGGTCTCTCCCCCTAGGTCACTTATTATGGAGTGAGGGAGACTATTCAATATCCCAAAGGACTCCCAGCACTGAATGCATGGGGCATCCCAGGAAGAAGTGGTGCCAAGGAGTATTCTGTATAGAAGATAGGTATTACAAGAATTTTTCCCTCTGCTTGCTGATACATAAACCATTTTTTCATCTCAGCCTCCACATTTCTCATCTGAATAACTGAAGATCAGGGTGGGCCTGATAGTAGGGTGGCAGCTGGCAACTTGGCACTCTTTTAAAGGTGAGAGGGAGCAAATGAGCAGTTTTGCTCAGAAATGGGTGATTTTCCTGCACACACAAGGGTAGCGCTGCATTTTCAGAGGTCTGATTTTGGCAGCAATGGTGGAAGGTCACCTTTCATCATACCATCTAGGCTCTCTGTTCAACCCTCAAGTGCTGTAATAGTACATTGCCTGTAATTAGTGCATTGTAGTTTTTAAATTTTTTTCACAATTACAGTTGATGTTCAATACTATATTAGTTTCAGGTGTGCAACATTGCGGTTAGACATTTATATACCTTACGAACTGATCGCCATAAGTCTAGTACCCACCTGGCACTGTACATAGTATTACAATATTATTGACTATATTCCCTATGCTGTATTCCTCATCCACATGATTGTTTCGTAATGACCAATGTGTACTTCTTAATCCCTTTACCTTTTTCATCCAGCCCCCTACACCCCTCCCACCAACAATCAACAGTTTGTTCTCTCTAGCTATGAGTTTGCTTCTGTTTAGTTCGTTCATTGATTTTGTTTTTTAGATTCCACATACAAGGGAAATTATACAGTATTTGCCTTTCTATGTCTGACTTATTTCACTTAGCATAATACTTTTTAGGTCCATCTATGTTATTGCAAATGGTAAAATGTCCTTCTTTTTTATGGCCGGATAATATTCCATTTTAGGTACCACATCTTATGACTCTTGTTTTCTTATCCATTCGGCCACTCTATGTCTTTTGATTGGAGCATTTAATCCATTTACATTTAAACTAATTGCTGCTAGATATGTAGTTATTGCCATTTTATTATTCATAGTTTTGAATTTTTTTCTTCTTCTTAAAGAAGTCCCTTTAACATTTCTTGTAATATTAACTTTGTGGTGAACTTTGTTGGCTTTCTCTTGTCTGAGAAGCTCTTAATCTGGCCTTCAATTCTAAATGATAGCCTTGTTGGCTATCATTTAGAGGAATCTTGCTGGGTAGAGGAAAATGGTGGAAGGTCACCTTTCATCATACCTTCTAGGCTCTCTGTTCAACCCTCAGGTATTATAATAATACCTTGCCTGTAATTACTGCATTGTAATTTTAAATAAGCATTCTATAGTATTCAAAAATCCCACCGCAATACCATTTAACAGATGGGGAAACTGAGATTCAGAGAGATGAAAGGACTTGCCCTAGGTTATGCCAAGGCTCCTGGAGGGACCTAGGTTTAAACATGGCCCTAATATCCCCCGCCCTCTTATCCTAGGACCTTTCTCCCACAGCCTAACTTTATAAGATAGTGTTTTGCTCTGAGATTTGATAAGTCAGAGTCTGTGCTCTCTTTTTGTTGTTGTTGTTATTGTTCTGTTTTCTTGTTTGTTTTTACTGAGATACAGTCATATACCATGTTCACTCTTTTAAAGTACACAATTCAGTGATTTTATATACATCCACGAAGTTGTGTAACTATGATTACTGTCTAAATCCAGAACATTTT